TCAATATCTTGTAAAATCGCACGCTTTTGCTCAGTGACATTACCATAAGTATCAAATAAGGTACGAAGCGCCTCAAGATAGGCGGTATCGTCATTACGACCACGATAGTGTTTAACTAATTGTAAAGCATCACCATCGAAATGCAGAAGAAGAAGCTGAATACGATGCAAAGGCTGAAACTGATCCTTAGGAGCCTCATGGATAGGTTTGAATTGAGTCCAAACCTGATCAAAGGTAACCTTGTCATTCGAAGACCCTTCGAATTTTAAGTCCTTTACACATGTTTTCTCATAATTTTTTATATAAACTTGCTGAGCGTCTGGAGAAAACGGTAAACGATCACCAGTACCATACGTAGTAAGCTCAGTTCGTAAAGAACCTTTTAAATGGGCAAGATCAAGACCAAACGCCTTATTAGAAAGACGTGGAAAAGCATCAGGAACAGATTGCGTCATAGAGACAACATTCGGAGGATTAGTATTAGTCGAAAAGGTTGGCGCAGGAATTTGGCGCAGAGTGCTGGAACGCGGAAAATTAACCGATGGAGGAAACGCTTGAAGAGCTTGAGATGGAGGCAACGGTATATGCACCCCAAGAAAGGAAGCAGAAGAGGGACGTAAAACAAACCACTGATCAATGAGATCAGCAACCGGTAAAAGAATCATAGAAGAAAGAGACAAAATAAGTGCATTAAGAGCACCTTGATCAGATTCTGGAAGATGAGACAAATTGAAAGAAATAAGCTCAGGAGAAACATCAAGGAGGTCTTGAAGGACCTCATGAAACAGAGAAGAACAAACATAAAGATCAGTCTTAAAAATAGCCCAATCCCCGGCAGTAAGACTACGAGCAACACGAAGTAAAATAGAAATAAGATGAGTACGTCGTGGCATAGGGGTATCCCAAGTAGGAGTAGAAGGAAAATGCGGAATCGTAGCAGAAGTTGGATTGGAAGGAAGCGAAAGATTATCAAGTGGTTCAGAGACATCAAAATCATATTGAAGGGAAGTAGATGGTTGAGGACGCGAAACAGGAGCAGTGGAGACAGAAGGAAGAAGAGGATTAACCTTACGAGGTCGGCCACGACAAGTAACCTTCACAGGAGGAGGACGATGTGAACCTGGTGGATGACGTGGAGACTGACAAGTAGGAGCGACACCGTGCCTGACACCAACGCCGCGAACCATTGTAAAGATGAGAAAGGAGGGAAAGTACCGTAAATTGTCAGAAACGCTCTGCTACCAATTTATATTGGGCACAAATGGCCACAATATAATTTGATGTCAAGTGTTTGGAACAAATGGAAATAAAACGAATAAATCAGTCCGGGACTGGACCGGGATTCCTTATTGGAATTCCTACTTTAACGGGAATTGTATTTCGGATAAATGGATAAGTCAACGACTTTACGAGCTCGGGCTTGTAACAAGGAATAACTTGATTAACGCACACGTAAATCTGAACTGAACTTATCTTACTGATAATCGAAGCTCTTTATATAGTATTCATAATAATTAACCTAATTAACCTTCAC